ATTTTCATTTCAGATGAATAAACAGGGAAGCCCTATTCACAACGGCTACAGTTAAGAAAACGAGTTGGGTGGGGTCGGAGAAGATGACTGTATTCAAGGGCTAAGAATCCACGTCGGCTGGGTGGCAAGATAGCACGGCAGATATAATATTAATGGTTTTCAGAATCCTCTACGCCTAAGTAAAGAAAGTAGTACGGATATTACATGCACAGGTACTAAAATATTGCATTGGAGCATCAACATTAAATAGTGGCAGCGGTCACCATGTACGTGTTACTGACGGCAGGAAATTAAAAAACAAAAAAGAGTGGTGTGAACTCTGGCGGTACGTTGTTCATACAAAATTTAATTAAAATTCGTCAACTGGTCCGAAAGTTACAAGCGGAGACACACGTACATGATTATGTCACGAGGAATGTGGACTACCTAGACCCCTCTCGGCAGATTAAATATTTCATACATCCGGACGGGTCTTACTCCGTATCGTTGGAGGTCTTAACCATGGACCACGCGTTCGTGCTTCGCCAGAGAAATCGGGCTTTGGCAGGCGTCTCCAACATGTAGGAAGGTTTGCAGATTTTAAGAGCGTAGGTTCATCACTAAGCTGAACTTGTAAAATGTCACGTTTCACCCCCACCTTACCACGTGTATCTAAGTCGGTGGTGGCTTTAACATCGTGACCCTCGTTCGGATTGCACCCCCCCCCCTCTCTCTCTCCTGAGTTCGGTGCCCCAGTTGATCGATATTGGAGGCGCCACGTTGCCAAATTCCACAGACAGAAGAGGCAGGGGTGGGGACAACTCAGATGAAGGAAGACCATTATTCCCTTATCAGGTGCCCAAACCGAAGCGGGTATCGAGATCCGGACTGTCACGTTTGGATGTGGACTCCATATCTCAATGGTTCCAAAAGTCTGCGATGTGACAAGAGGACCAATTTCTGAACCAACAACGGCATTTAAACAATTACAGCGCAAAAATTGTTACACGTACACCATGATTTAAGCCTGACTGCTCATTCCACAATAAATTAAACATTATCTCGGCTGTCATTTAGGTGGCACAAGAGTGGAAGGGCGTATTCGAGCCGGAAGTAGGTACATGAAGTATCGTATCAACAAGTTCTACGCGATTCTGCATCACTTACTGGCCTTGATGTTAATTTCATGTGGACACAGGCATGTTACTAGGACTTTAGGAACGTCACACGCCTCGTTCTTGCCAAAGCTGATCATAATTAGACATCGGCCAGGGCTACAGAGTCGGTATAGACAAGGTGGTGATGAACGTAACAAGAATCAAAAGCCAAACAGGCATGTCGTTTACGTTTGGTGTCTGCCGCTCATATAAATGCGCTCAAAACAGAGAAGGTTTTGGTCAGATGGCACATAATCTGCCAATCCGAGAAATTTTATAGATACATTTATATTTTTACATATATTAAGTACCACTTTTAATTTAAATAGATGTTTGAGCTCTCGCATGAAGGAAAGGACAGATATTGAGGGACTTTGAGTACAGGGTGCTGAGGGGAATATTTGGACGCCAAAGAGGAAGTAAGAGGAGACTGAAGATTACAGCATAATAAGAAGCTTCATGATTTGCGTATGATTTGAGGTTTTCACAGCGGTGAGTATGAAGATTTCTGTCTTCTGGGTTGTTGCTCTGTGTAGTCTGGTCGATGTTAACCAACGTTTCAGAGGTCATACTGCCTCCATCATCAGGGCGATGATCGTCCTAATGACGGAGGCAGTATGACCTCTGAAACGTTGGTTAACATCGACCAGACTACACAGAGCAACAACCCAGAAGACAGAAATCTTCATACTTTGTGATCGCCAACAAATAATATTAAACTGAACAAATAAATAAGGTAGAAATGGGAGGAGGAAGCACAACGTAAGACATGAGAAATGTATACAAAATGTTGGCTGCAAAAGCTGAAATCACTTCTAGACTTAAGCATAATGAGTGGATAATATTAAAAAGCTGACTGAACTGATCCAGCTCTGAATAGGGACCAGAGGCGGGTTCTTTTGAGCACTGCAATTAGCATCAGTGTCCCATAAGAAGCGGCAAATTTGTTGACCAGCTGAGCGAAGTCATATTAGCAACAGAACAAATATTATGCTACATGAAGTTAGTATATTACGGGTAACAGTGGCAAGGAAAGTCACCCCAAAATATTCGGGTAAATTCCTTTACATTTGTATCCACTTTGTGCACCGGGTGTATATGAAATGTGATGGGAAAAAAATCAAGCCATTTCCCTCACGCCTCCAGCCAGAAAGTTATGACGTACCAGAGAAATGCGAGGTGAAATGTGGCAGTTTTAACACGTGTTGGGCTTATGAATCCCCGAAGCCTGGTGGTGACAGGATTTGTTCCCCCTTTGCCTGGCCCTAGGGACCATCGAATCCCCGATTTGTGTTGGTGGATTCGCTGCCCATTCCCTTGTTATCAATATTAATCCTTTGTGTTCTGACATTTTAATTTAATTGTGTCAGTGGTTCACAGTATGAGCGGACTACTCAAGGGGCGACCAGTTTCATGATTACTTTAAGCAAAACGTCCTGATGTAATGGTTGAATAAAATGAAGATGTCGCTATCAAACGTGATCTGTATCTGTAACGTCCTCTTCGAATGGATATCTGTGTTTAAAGCAAGACATTGCTCTCTACATTGGAAATACACTGTGGCTTACTTAACGATACCGTTAACAGCTCAGAATACATAGCGTCGAATGACAGAATGATTAATGAGCAATAAATTGAAAAGGCTATGGAAGGAAGAGGTTGTGGTATAACTTAAGGTACTGTCCAGATAATTGCTTTGATTAAGTAGAATTACTGTCACGATAGTCAGCGTTCAGGCCTAGATCTGAACCCGGAACATCCCGACTACAAAGCACCGGTGTCAGATACTCGTGACCTTCGGTTCTCAAAAATAAAATCAACAAAATTTGTTATATGATAAACACATAAAGACTGGACTAGACCAAGTCCCAAAACGTCATGAATATTAAGTCTTGCATACACACTGTAGACAATGGATAATATTCATAATTGTAGTGAAAAGACAAAATGTTTTATGACTAATTAAGCACGACACCATAAACAGAGAGTGAGGGTAACTCTACACAGTCTCACTCTCGATACTAGACGGAGATGAGTAGTCAGTAGATTGAAGGAATTATATTACATGCCATCGACTTACTGATTCTTAGATTAGTTTACAATTCTCATTCATCTAAACTGGTTATATGACGTCGAATGAGATGTGATGACGATCATAAATAAGGATTTGGAAGGAAACGGTCGGAATATTTTTAAGGTACTACCTGGAATAGACAGACAGAAGAAAACAATGACATCCCAGTCAGGGCAGTGAGAAGCCCGATCAAGATTTGGACCAGCTCCCGAGGTAAGCAAAGGAGCGTTACCGCTACAACAAATCGTCGATATAATCTCTTCAAATCTCACTGTTTGTTTTACGACTGCATTGCCGGATATGGTTATTAATGATAAATTTGACAGGACATGGAGGCAAGTGATTGTAACCGATCTTAGGCACGTCCGTGATGAAAACTTACAAAACGCATTTGTTGGCTTAGCAATGTCCCTGTCCGTCTGTCCGCATGTAGCAAATCGCTGAACGGTGTTAATGAACTTTGATATTCTACCACAAATAAATATCACAGTCAGAAGGAGCAAAAAGCAAATATAATATATTTCTTTGTCATCTACATATGCTCTGGGAAGCATCCATCTCGTCCTACCAGGCTGGTGTGGCAGCATCTCTGTAGATTTGCATTCGGCAGATCAGTCATGAATGCTGCAGAGGCAAGAAACTTGCTGAAGAGGCCGTGGAAAGGTTGCCTCCTGCCATATTTCTAGTATTTGGTATCTAAATTAAAATTCTAAGAACTGATGTCCCCAAAACCACAAAACTCAAGAGTTCTAGCAATAACAGGCAACCTATACTTGGCATGATAGACACTGTACCCTCTCTGGAAGAGATCCACGTTGTAGAACTTGTAGAGCTCCACGGAGAACTCCACTGTCGCCTGCAGCTCGCTCATGGCGGCCCAGCCAGGCTCCCCATCCTGAAAACAACCGATAAGATTCGAGTACCTCCTTGACGCTGTTATGTACGTGTGAAACTTGGCATCTCACTTTAAGGGAGGAAAAACATACGTGAGTGAAGAAAATACTGTGCCTAAGAGAGGCGACGTAATAGAAGATAGAGAAAATTACAAATAATATAATTCGTCTGATTAAATCAAGACGAATATGATGAGCGAGGCATGTGGTATGCAGGGAAAACTCTACTCATAAATCTTAAGCAAATAATCCACTTGTGACACCAGTGCATAGAGGGAAGGATGATATTAAAGTGGGTTTAAGAAAAATATGTGAGTGGATTTAAATGACAGTCCAGTAGTCCAATCGGATTTATTGAGCATGATAATGAAGCTCCAGGTTCCATGAAAGTGGGGAACTTACTGGCCAGTTGAAAAACTACCGAATTTTCACAAAAGGCTCTGCACCATAGAGTGAGAGAATGACTTAGTTACAATTGCAAAGGCCCAGTATTACTCCCTGTATTTACAAAAAAAGAGAGAATATTCTCATTAAATCCAAAACAATAATTAGATTTTAATTTCCTTATCTTTCTCTTCTGTTTACTGAACAAAAACCTGCTTTGTTCTACATTTACTTTTATTTGCAATCTTCAAATTTCAATTATACTGAGAATTTATCAGGAATAAACAGTAACATCATTTGGGTGCTCTCAATTTCACCGTGCCAGCCAGAGAGGCAAGAAAGGTCAAAATACTTGTCAAGTGGAGAAAAGAAAAGAAGTTGGGAATTTCTCCAACTGGTGAATCCTCAAAGCTCAGTTCTGTTGGCAAGTGAATCACCTAGCAACCTTGCGTATGCCAAGTACTTCAGCCAATGGGAGGCACTAAAACCTACACATACAATTTTATAACCGATGCAACCTTGGATATAATAATTAAGTAGAGGCTGTGCCAAAATATCTGTCATTAGATATAAAACCTAAACATAAATGTGTTAAATAAATTTAAATCACATTTCTTCTTCAAAAAATGTTATTGTAGAATAACGATCTGGCAGAAAAATTTGTTTCTCGTGGGCATATTTTCTTTGGATATTGTCCATTGCCTAGACAAAAAATATGTAGACCGTTCTGGTAGCTAGCTCTGTCCCTGTCTTCAGGCAAAAGGAAAAAAGAAAAGCCAATCCACTGGGCCCATCAAGCTATTCCTCACCACTAGGTGTGGGCTATTTCTGTCTTCACATAAAATGAATGGTTTGCCCACTGGATAAAGCTAGTCCTTCCATATGAATTACAGAAGCAGTCATTGTGACTTCTCCAACATTTTTTAAGAAAAGGGATTTGATGTGCAGATTGATGAAGCCAAATAAATACTTTGAAGACATGAATTTAAAATATTATATATTTCAACAAATTTAAGCTTATTTTCTGATTAAACTGCAAAACCAAGTTAAGACTGAAGTTCTATTCAAACTGAAAACTTACAGAGCAGTTGTTATTAAATAATGTTATGAAATTACTTTTCAACATGTTTAGGAATGGAGGCTTCAAGGTTATTCTGAATTGAACTTTTCAATCCTTTGACATGTAGAAAATATAACACGAATAACATTTCCAAAATAATTTAGGCTTTAAAATCTTTGAATCAATTAAAAAAAAAGTTCACCTATTTAAAACTTTGAAAAGTGAATCCTGGAAAAAATGGTTGTTTAGTAATACTACACAAATTAAAACAGTTAGAAGCCAAATACTGTTAATGAACTAGTTACCTTTTATTAAACTGGGAGGGCTTTCAGAGTATGATGACATGTGTATCCTTACATACTCCATACATTCATGTTTAGCCAGAACTGAACTATAATGGCAATTCTGATATGGTCATGAATATGAAACTGAATGTACTTTTTCAATATTGGTTCAAATAAAAAAAAACTGTTGTGAATTGTGGATGCAATTTTGTGTATTACCTAAACAGAGGGTTTTATACTCCTAGCAATCCTATAGGCATAACCAAGGAATCAATTACATCACTGATATTGGTCTGAGGCTTCTGACATTTTACAGGGTACACCATTTAAAACAAAACCCAGCAAAATCATGTACTAAGATATAAAAATGAAATATTACTTTTAAATGTCAGCCTGCTTCTCTTAACTGAGGGTGACAAACCTGCTGATTCTCAAATACACAACTAAAAATACTTGAATTTAAATGTTGAGCATAATTCATTGTAGAGACATAGCCCACTGGTTTTGCCTCAAAAATAATATGATCAATTAACCCTTCTATTTAATTAATATACAAGAATATAATCACTGAACTGAATGGCTGGCTATTTATAAGCCTTCTACAGTTACAACAGCAATTAATTCTTTAAGAAAATTATGTAACACTTTGAGAGCAGTCTAGAAACAAAATAATAAGAATCCTTCATCACTGGGAAAGAGGGTCCACTTGTAATTTTAATTTAGTGAAGCTGCTGCTGCAGACCTTGATGAAGCATATGTAGTAGGTGGGGAGGCTTAAAGTTCTAATGACCCTGAGAGCTATGCTGACAGGGATGTAGTTTACACTAAGACTCAAAATCTGAGGCTAACAGAATGATGAAAGGTCGGTGCACCAACCACATGCCTGCTTAGCTGAGACATTATCTTATAAATATAAGACAGGCCTGATCAAATGAAATATATGAATACATATTAAAACAAAACTTACCTTTCCACTATCAAACTTCTACCATTCTTCTGGATATACTGGCGAATTCACAAACAACTGCAAATACTGTAACACAGTATGAAAATATTCACAACCACTATAACTTTACACCAAATTTTAAACACCTTCAGAAAATATGAACGGAATCATTCAATAACCAACGAGTTCTCTACACGTAATCAGGAACATGAATGCAACCCTAATTCGACAGTTTCTAACCACACACCGGTCAAACTGACAAGTTTTAAAAACAGGAATGAATAATATCCAGACGTGTATGTGTCTATTCCACTCATCTCGGCAAAACTGAAGACTCTACGACTATCAACTTCTGGGACTGTATCCATAATGAAGCATATAATGCACATATCGTTATGTTAAAGTTAAGTTAAATTTACTTGGTTATTAGTCACTATTCGGAATGCTAAGCTGGGTTTCACTTTCATTTTCTTTTCCAATTTGGTACTCACACTCCAAAACTCCGAAATCACAAAACTCCTCTGAACCTAAAATCAGGGTTCTTCTCCGATGGGCTATAATTTGATTGCACTCCTGACAAAGTATCACAAATCAATGTATCCATTACAGATTCGCTGCTTTACTGCTCCGCGCACCCAGTACTGCAACTCGCGACACTTGAACACATTTTATTGATTTTTTAAAATATGCAATTTGTAACACTTTTTTAAGTTGATCAAAACAGTATTATTCAAATTACGCGACACTATAACATTGCACTGCAAACGCGATAGGACTACATACCAATGTAACCAAAAACCGCACTCCATCTAAACTGTCAAACCAGTCCGTACGCCATGGGCGCTACTTGTTTTGCTCTACCAGGTTGACCAACACAACTAAATATACGCTTACGAATGGAATAACACGCAACCATGCGGTTCAAACAGGAACAAGGCAACACAAGCTGCACTTAACATAATATAAGCAAATTGGAAGATTATGGAATGTTATTTAAATGGTTACTTAAAATAATTTTAACATTAGCTTCCATATTATGGATATACTGTAAGCAAGAATTATTACATCCTCTTGTGGAAGGTACCGAAACTATGACGGTCACGTGATCTATAAGACGTAATGGCGGACATTTAAAATTTATAATTACGCTTAATTTTAAGGTTTTAAAACTAGGGTACTGCAAATTATATAAGTTGAGTGCAATTAATCTAGAATCAAAGATAAGAAAATGTTGATACTTATCTCCACTATTCGTGTATTTAGAGAACGAACGGCCTCAAACATTCTCAGATTATCAAAAATAAATAGATCAGATTTTCGTTACCATTCCAGAAACACCAGGTACTTAGAATATATTTAATATTTAAAGTATAAAAATAAGGAATGAGACATAGGCCAAGTCTGAGGCTAGCTCAACTATGGATCCCAACAGAGAGGTTCTCTGCCCTCTTTCTAACCTCCTTTTGATGAAGACGAAAGCAAAATACAGATTCCGAAACGTTATAGTTATGTTATTTTGTAATTTAAACGATAAACAAAGTCCGAAAAAGCAATTTTACATATTATAACGCACCATCGTCAGAAAATTTCAGACTTCGATAAACGTCCGCACATTGAAGTTTATATTCTAGAGCAGGTGTAACCAGTCTCAGTAAATAAGAAAATGGTTTGAGATAGCGTGTAATTCCTTTAACACGACACAATATTAAAAAAATGTATTTCAAAGAAATAATGACGCTCATCGTACCAGTGAATCAGTTATTAACAGCATTGACAAAAAGGTCAAAACTTAAAGTGTAACAGAAAATAAAACACAAAGAGAAAAGAAAAAATTTGTAAGTAAAATTTCAAGTAACATATGTGTATTGTTGTTATGTCAATTAACGTAATGAAGTAATGTACTAATTCTAGTAGCGATTTATTGAGGTGTCTTACATACAGTGCACTGGAAGCGCAGTCATGAGCTGTAAGTAATAATTCTAATCTCAAGTGATGGTAATGTGCATTTGCACGATTTTAACTCTTGAATTTTATAGCACTCAGAAGATGGCTGTCTTCTGGATACGATAAACCAGTTAGCAAAACCCGTCTCCTGGCCGAAATTTGAATCCGCGGACGTCTCTATTACAAGGCAAGATGCTAACCATTTAAACGTTTTATCAAGTTTTGACAGCTGTAAAGTAGGACTGTTATTGTGAATGTAATGTTACTGAACACTGTTATGTATTGTGACATTAGAACTCTATCGGATTTAGCGTAGAAGGCACATTCCAAAAAAAGTCCGTGTTTTATCAAAGTCTTCCCGCTATAAATTGACAAATTCCGCAAAAACCTCTGAGTTTTTATTGTTTCAGTGCAGCTATCAACTCACAATCAACTATCAGTTGCAAAATTAATTATAACTGGAAAGGTTTTTAGACAATATTCCCTACGAACAAAACTACAGCCATTAAATTCAGTTTCATCCCCGCACCCACCTCATTCCAGTTCTCTTTCTGGCTAACGGCAGGGAATTCTAAAAAAAAGGCTTATTGATTCCATCATTCTTATGGAGAGATACTTGACTCGTATCGGGAAAACCCTTTCAGCGCTTGGTCGCGAGTCATCCAATTCTAGCCGGGATCTAAGAAGTGACAGTTGCGTTCAACTTTATCAGTGACCTCACTACACTTGAGATAACAATTTATAAGCGGACAAGCAAACCACAAAAGGGACCTAAAGATTTTCAAAGTTAGGAAGACAGGTGGG